CTGCCTCTAGTACGATTGTCGGTTTTCCAGATCCACGTGAATATTGTCCTTTCCATGCTGTTGGACAATTTTTCCACTCCCAATGCATACAATCTATGCTCCCTACCATTCCGGGAAATCCGCGATGTTCTCCAATATTCAATAATCGTTGGAGATCTTCTGCTGTAGGCCTTCGGAGGTACTCATCTCCAAAAAAAGTTATTACTCCGTCTACAAAAGCTTCAAGGCATTTGTGCGCAGTGGTTTCAGCAAGACGTAAATACTCATCCACCGCATCTGCCGCACATCCGTATGCCATCATCCGAATAGCTGCCGTACATTTTTGAAGCGCGGAAAGACCGAGTCTTCCAGTTGCATCTCGTCTTTGGACGAAGTACGGTACTCCATTCTCCAGAGTATTAACAATACGCAAGAATAACGGTTTATTCATTCTAAACCGTCGGCGGAACATAGCGTTAGTGTAAGTTGGAGATTCACTAAAGTAATCATTCCATAACTGAATATGGCCTCCTTCCCGGTCTCTATCAACGTAATTTCTTCTGAATACTTGAGATGGTAAATCTTCCGTATGAATGTAATGGTGTTGAATCTCCTGAACAATGTTCTCAACTTCCTCCTCGATCATTTCATCAACCTCTTCCTCCACCTCTTCATCATAACTGGAATTTGACATTTTCTTTTGGTGTAAGACTTATTACAGTTTGAGAAGTTTTTTTAAAACTTTTTTGGGACTTGGGTAAAGATTTTGGGTTTTGCTTTTGGGTTTACAAACATTGGGTGTTTTGACTTGTACTTGTTAAAAACTGAGAAGAAGAAAGATTATAATCAAATAGATATGCAAATCTGAATTACATAATGCAAAATATTTGACATTCGAAAATATTACAAAGAGACTCGATTGGTGGGATTTAAACTGAAAGAAAGGCTGAAAATGAAAAGATTGAATACAACATGGGAAATATATAGAACAAACCTACAAGTTCACACAAAAAAAGACAAAGGGCTTCACGGGTTTATTGTGAATGGCAAAAAAAAACAATTCAGAAGACAACAAAGTAGCTTCACTTTTCAAACCAAAACAGCTTCATTTCACTTTACCAGTCCATGATAACCCACAGTTTACCCCAGAAGACAACTTCACAGGTTTTCCATGACACTCCAAGACAGAACCTGAAACACAACAAACCAAAACAAAGATTAATGACAAAAACAGCAACTATGCTTCAAGAGAATATATGCAACACATTATTAGCACAATCCAGAACATTATTAGCACAATCCAGAACATTATTAGCACAATAACAGAACATTATTAGCACAATAACAGTTAGCTTATCAAAGAGGAGAATATAACCTAAGTGTCACTGAACATTTGGTCTTGTAGCTTATCCCTAAGTATAACTTGAGCTGGTGTTAGGTCAGTCTTGTTAAGAAGACTTTGAAGTACTTTCATTTTGCCTTGCCTTTCTTTAGCAGCTTGTTCCTTATCCTTCATAGCTATGATCCTATCAAGCTTCACCTTTCCACTATCCTCAACATCATTGCTCATTAGAGGTGTCTTCCCTTTCTTCTTGGAAGCTTTAACACCAGGAGGCCTCACCTCAACTCCATCATTTGTTGAACTAGACGAGTAAGCTCCTTCTGCATCAAGCTTGCTCCTTTTAGAGCTACAATCAGCTGTGTTCCATTTCTGATCATTTTTGAGCTCCCTCCAGCAATGGCCAAGATTAAATGCCTTCTTCATGTCATTCTTGTACAGCACATGTGCCAATGACAAGACATCATCTTCAGATTCTCCACTCTTCTTTCTTGCAGAAGCTTGTGAGTAACAACCAACGAACTTGTTAACATCTTTATTAATCTTGCTCCACCTAGCCTTACATTGGACAGGCCCTCTAGTGGATGCTCCCTCACTTGCTTGGAAATAGGCTGCAATGCGCTTCCAAAAGCAATCAACCCTTTGCTCATTACCCACAACAGGGTCCTTGCTGGTATTTAACCAGGCACTTATCAGCTTCACATCCTCCTGGTTAGTCCACCTCAACCTACTTGTTTTACCTCCCTCTGCTTCATTATCATCACCACTAAGCTGAATACACTCTTCAGGGACAGTTGGACAGCTAAATTGGAGAGGCTGAGAAGAGAAAGGGGAGCTAAACTGGAGAGGCTGAGAAGAGAAAGGGGTGTTAAACTGATTAAGCTCAGAGGTTTGTGTGGAATTTGGAAGAAGAGGATTAGAATCAGAAATGTTAGAATCCTGTTGAGAATTCAACAGGTCCGTAAAATTAGCTTGAGTAAAATTGAAAGGGTTTCTTGAACTCATTAGTTGTGTTTTAAGAGAAAGATAAACTGACAAGAGTTAATAATGAGGAAAAGATAAACTGAGAAGAGTTAATTCTCAGTGTTTTACTTTGGTTTATAAAGATATAAATCTTTGTTTATACATAGAAAGATACACAAAATAATTGTGTATCTTTCTTGATTAGACAACACAATATCTTTCTACTTAAGGTAGACACAATATTCACAAAGCTAAATAAACGTTTTGATGACTATAACAGAAAAGTTAAACACAACCCACTTTAAAGTACATGTTCAGACACTACACAGTACAAACAACATCTATACACTTTCCTTAAAGTCAACACTATTTTCAAAAGCAATCATATAGAGATAATCATTTTTTTTTAACTAACAAACAATCACAATCACCTTCTCAACTAAATAACTTTTCCAACCAAACAAGCACAATAAGTTTCATATACCAATTTGACTAACCATAATTAGACAGAGAGAATAAAGACATCACCTTTACCAGAACCAATCAGTTGTTCTTCTGATTCTCCCTCTCTATATTCGCAGCTGAAGACTCCATATCTACAAAACAAACAGCCACAGATCAGATTTATTCATCATTGGAATCAATATATAAACAAAGAGGAAACCAACACAAGTTAAACCCTAGCTAACCTCAGATTGATCTGATAGAGA